AACCGTTTCTCTGGCGCGGTTACCCCAAGCTGTAATGCACGATTTCATGTGGGGTTTGCGCTCCCCATTCCGCACAAGCGTGAAGCATGCCCGAGTTTTTTTTGTCATGTCCACGTTGCGAGCCGAAATGGCGTTGCACCGGGTCGACAAGAGAGACCTGGTTAGCGGCAAACCGAGTAGTTTGTGGCGCTGGAAAGGGGAGTCACCCCTCCTCGGAAGTGAAGATGTCGAGGCTCACGAACCCCACGACTTACTTTAATAGAAGCCACCATTGAAACCATTAGCCTAGGTCTAATGGTTTGATTTCGGCTTCTGTAGGGCAGACGTTAGCAGCACCTCCGTCTACTACCGCCCCACTCACACACCGCTTGGTACCACTTTCTCTCTTTGTTAAACGGGAAAACCCCCCCGGCTCGACAGGAAAGCAGCGGCGGATGAAGCGAAACGCCGGAGGGAAGAGATGGAAACCCCGCGGTACCGGGGCCTGGCCATCGCTACCCCCGGCAGAACGCCTACGGGAGGCGGGGTCACGGGCCAGGGGAGCGCGGGGGGCACCGTGAGGAGAAAAACGCCACGAAGGGTTGGGCTGTAAGCGTCGTGTGATATATATGCACGGTGGAACGGGGGGCGGCGTACTTGGCTGGACTGTAAGCGTGGTGTCACACATGCATGGTGGACCGGGAGGCGGGGTAGTTGGTTGGACTACTGTAACCGTGGTGCCTGTCATGCATGCATGACCGAACGGGTGGCGGTGGCCGTGGCGGTGGCGGTGGCGGTGGCGGTGGCGGTGGCGGTGTTGTTGCGGCGTGGCGCGGAGGTCGCGTCAGGCAAAAAAAAAAAAAAAAACAAGCGTCGAACAAGAAGAAAGCGCCGCATGGGCCAGGGTTGGCCGTAGAACTGGGCCGAGCGCAGTGGCAGGGGCGAGCACCCAACGGCACGTGCCACGGCTTTTTTCCGTGTACGCAGCTTGTCCGGGTGCCCGCCCTCCTCTGCGAGGACGGCGGCTCCGCTTGGTTGTGGCTACGGCGGCTGAACTCCTTGCGTTTTTATTTTTAAAGAAGATTGACGGTAGAGATGTGTGCACCTCTGCTTCTGTCCGGCAAGCTGCTGCGGCTGCAAGGCCGGATAAGCAAGAAACGAAAAAAAAGTGTGGGAGCGATGGCGGCGGGAGATGTTTTTGTTCGGAAGGGCAGACGGGGAGACCGGGGGCGTGTTTTTCGCGTCCAAAATTGGATGTTGATACAATATTATCTTCCGGCCGTGGGCCGGGGAGTCGGGGGCACAGCAGTCGAGGCTTGTGTGCACCCGTGTGAGTGTTGGTGAAAAAATGTGCTGCTGTGCAGTTTTTTTTTTTTTGTCTCTTTGTTAGGAAATGTTGGGGTCGAGGCATGTTGTTCTTGGTTGTTGCAGCCACACGAGTGTGTGCGCCGCACGAACACACGGAACACGAAATTATGAAGCAAGTAACGTCAAGGTTGCACTGCTGTTGTAAGTTCCATTGGGTGTGCGCGTCATTCTGAGCGGCGTTTGGCTCGTGGGCAAAAACAGTAGTATGACGGCACGGCACACATTTGTTGTACTTTTCACCCTTGACAAGAGAAAAAAAGCACGTGGCGAATTGTTGCAAGTCGATGCTTTGCTGCAGAGAAGATGGCTGCTTGAAAGGCCTCCGTCTGGGCATGTGGTTGGTTATTTGCCCTTTCCTCATAACCCATGGCACAAACTGTGCCGCCGAACGAGAGCGCACGTGAGCGAGGAGGTGCCCCGAGGGCAATTCGTAAAGTGCGGCACAAAGCATTTTCCTTTTTTTAACATTCTAGGTGTGATGTTTTGTCACCCAGCCCCGCGAGCCGAGTCGAAGCGGCGAGAAAAAAGTGGCCGAGGTTTTCTGGGGGAGGAGAAAACCCAAGCGAGACTTGAGGCGAAGAGAATAATTCCAGGCCTTGTCCAAATAAATGTGGTGCGGTGCGGTGCGCATGCTGAAGAGTGTGTAAGTGCTTAGCACAAACAGTGGTAGATCCACATTCTTACGTGGAAGATCCCTCCGCGACGTAGTACATGGCGAAACGCACGAAGGAAAAAACGCCTTGTTGGGAGAGAGCCTGGCTCACGCACGCGACTTTGCTAGAATTTATTTGTGCAACCAGCGAACGAACGCCGCTCGCGGCGAGAGCAAAAAAAAAAACGGAGTACAGGAAAGCGCGAGAAAAAACGTGGCACGGTGGAGTACAATTTTTCGGGTGCCACAAAAAAACATGCGGCTCTTGAACTGTGTCGGTGCTCCGTCCGCCAAAAAAAAGAGAACGGGAGACATTCACACGGTGGCGAGCGCCTAAAAAAAGAAAGAAAAAGACGCCAGGAATGTCTCGTCCGTTTGAGTGCACATTCGGCCAAACATGTGTGCAGTGGATCCCTCACGAAAAGGGACAGTCAGCATCGATCGCAGTTCAGATGAACAACAGCGAGGGTGCATCCACGCATCATCTTTCTCACGCGCACGCGATCAGCGTGCTGCTGGGCCCGAAACAGGCGGACAATGATGAGCATCAGGGCGCCGACTTTTTTTCATTTCAATGTTATTTATTTTATTTGTATGCACGCCGCAGCGTTTTTCCCTCTCTTTTTCTGCCATTCTAACACATTCCCCAATGTCTACACGAAAAAATACAACGGAACCTTCTTGAAAGAGGCACACCTCCATCCACTCTCGAACTCCTTCCCCCCGCGCGCGCGCGACAGATCACAAAAAGAGCTCACGGCTCGAGGCTTGGCGCAAATTCTGACTGACGGATATGTACCACCGATGTTATGGCAGAACTCTACTACTTTGCATCACGTACTCTAAAAATATCATCTGCTGGGAATGTGGGATCGTCACCAAGCAGGAAAACAACAAAAACAAAAAACCCGAGCTCGTCCCCAAGACAGCGAAACTTAGCACGGCGCGTGTGCAGAGGTGTAAAACTGTACTCCACTTATTATGCAATGACGACACACAAACAACAAGGCCCGTAATCGAAAGTCCTTGGGGGACGGCCTGTGTAAAAAGGAGGAAAAAAAACAACGATTCCCGACAGCAGGAACCCCCCGCACAAATAGCGAGGCTTGATTGGTTGAGAAAAAAACACGCAAGTTTCTCAACAGGCCCTTCCTCGCCGACTGCCCTGCCGATTTTTTTCAAAACTGTACAACGGCGTTCTTAACTATTGGTCAGGCGGGGTTCTAGGGGCGATACCTTCACCGAGAGTAGTATTTACCTAAAAAACCAAGACACAAGAAATCCAATCCGTCGGTTCCTCCGCAGACACTCCAAGCGCAAGCAAGCACGACGCAACAACCAACCACCGAACTTGCAAAAGAAAATATCACAAACGTGGTTGCCACGAAAAAAAATAATCACATCAAGTCATGGTGTCCCGATTAAAAGACGAGGACTGGCACGGAGTCAAGTCGAACCTTCAGGGTAAACTTTTTGTGGAAAAAACAAAAATTCCTCTGGAAACACCCACAAGGCGAGTGAGACGAAACAACCTTCCCTGCAAAAAACAAAAAACGAACTTGCAAGATGACACCCACGCACACCCTTTATACACCTTTATACACATTCTACGGTACCGTGTTTAAGATGCAATACATTGCGGTGGACGAGGGGGAAGAGGGAAGAGGCACCCACAGCTTCAACAAAATTACTGGTTCCTCGTCGGGATGTAATCATGTAATCTCGGCCAACACAACCCAAATTTCAGTCATTTTTTCCTGAAACAACTTTCAATTTCCGGGCATATTTTCCCGATATCCCGACGCGACGAGAGAGTGTCGAACTTTTGCGTCCTCCTCGCCGCCGTTTTTTCGAGAAGCACAACCAACCCCTTAGGCACGCCCAATTGCCTCTCTTTCACGACATCACAGGTACCACGAAAGGAAAAAGCGTGCCAAAGGCGGAGTACAAAAACACTCCATACTCCGAAGTTAGAAAAAGGTGTCAGATACCATCATCTCCGCTGCCAATTTTTAGAAAAAGCCACTTCCTTTTCTCTCTCTTCTCTCTGTCATGCGCACAAGCAGCAGATTTCGCTAACAGATCATCGCAAATTGCAAGTACACCAAAACTTCAAACACGTACTGCTGTACCAGGCAGGAATGCGACGAAATGACAAGACAGCGGTACGGGTATATGACCGACCTACTCTACACGACACCGAGGAAACTCACGCCTTTTTCCCTTCTTCTTCTGGCTGTTTTCGTTCGTCCTCTAGAAAGTCCAGCTCGCAGAGGCAACCCTCCCCCCCCCCAGCTCCGCCTAATAATAGCTCTGAAGGTCGGTGTTGAAAGACAAAAGCTGCTGCATCCCTCTCGTAAACATGCCCGGGCACGCCGTCTGAACATCCACGAGCTTCACCGTCCGCCTCGACCACGTCGGCTGCGGTAGCCACTTGAGGTTGATCCGCACGCCAGCAGCAGCAGCAGCTGTACCGTAGCCGCTGCTGGTTCCCCCTACCCCCCCCGCGTCCTCCTTTTGCTCACCCCACTCCGAACCGAAAGCCCCCTCGACCTCATGCAATTCTCCGCCGCTCCCCGCCACTGTTGCCGGACTCTCAGCACTCGAACCCGCGCCCGACTTGTCCCTAACCTCTAGCAGGGTCTTGCACCGGATGCGGTAGGGCTCGCCGGACCCATTGGCACCGGTCTTGATCCAGCAGATGGACTCTCCGTTGTCCTCGGTGTAGAGGATCACCGGCCTCCTCTTCTTGCTGATTCCGCCAAAGCCAGGAAATACCAGGGTTGCCTCCACCCCCCGCGACAGCTCCGCGATGAACCGAAAGAGCTCTCCCGGCGGGGACGAGGAGGAGGAGGAGGCGGCACGGCCTGGTCGTCGCCGGGACTTGCCGCACCCGTCACACACGGTCTCGCTGCTGCTGTCACTGCTAGCGCTGCTGCTGCTGCTGCTGCTGGACGGACAGGTGCAGCACCCGCCGTCCCCGAACACCATCATCTCCCAGAAGTCAGTCGTCGTCCGAACCTGCGTTACCAGCTCGCCCCCGCACTCATCGCTCCATCTCACATTCCCTCTCCTGCTGCTCGCGCTCAGCCCACTGGTGAAGCTGTCTCCGCACCCTGCGCTGCTGCATGGGGAAGTGGCGCCGGAGCCGCTCGCGCTGCTGCTGCCACTGCTGCTGCTGCTGCTGCTCGAGGAGGAGGAGGAGGAGGAGGAGGAGGAGGAGGAGGAGGAGGTTGAGGGACGCCCATGGGGAGATACATACGGCGGTGTCGGACCCGAGGTGCCTTGGCTCCCCCACGAAAAGAGAGAGTTGGCGGAGTCAGCACGGCCTTTCTTCACCAGCTCTAAGGCAGAGGCGACGTCGCTCATGTCGATCATGGTGCTGCTGTAAGTCGACATGCCTGCTGCTGCTGCTGCTGCTGCTGCTGCTGCTGCTGCTCGGGGCAAGCAACCGAGCGGTGTAGGCTGCGCACGTTTCAGCGGGCAAGGACGCAGTTGTGAATCCGCGGAGCGGCATTTGGCAGTTTGTGTTGGAAGAAAAAAACAAAAACGAATCTAATCGAATCTTGGTGTATTTACAGCAGTGTATGCATACCGTATATGACACAAGATAACACACCCCCTTGGCCGATTTTCAAAGCTCGATTTCTCAACAGCAGGAAGAGTCACAGCGCCGAAAACGGCGGCGTTGGAACCGTCTTATCGAGAGCTGTTCGAAAACGTATTGTTTCATTTATGCATCCTCTTCGTCGTGGAGTAATCGAGCTTTGAAAAATCGGTCCAGGGGGTGTGTTATCTTGTGTCATATACGGTATGCATCTAGCATCTAATTTATACAAGAGATACAGACCAGCAGACACAGCAGTTCTGATCCTACGAGTACGTCATGAACAGGTGGAGAACATGCATCGTGTATGGTTCTCAGGCTTTTCAATCGATCAGCCCTCATTGTTTATGTTCTGGGTCCACGTCAATCAATATCCCTCAAACCTCAAACCCTTTGCTCCAACCACCGCACTCTCCATATACTCTCCATAGCAGCTGCTGCTACACCCCACTTACCTGTCTCTGCCGCACCCGAGCAAGTGGATGGCGCCGAGGCATGGCCACGCTCACCCGCTTTCACACCGATGGCTTCAGGTTTGAGGTGGGCATACAATACCTACTTGCATTCCTGCCAGCCTCTCATCTCATCGTTGTGATGAATGACCCTGTGCGCCATGGGTTGTCTGCTGTCTTGTACAACACGTAAAGCTTGCAATCAATCAGATATGGGACCACGACATGATACCACGGTTGATTATACTGTAGCCAGTTCGGGATGTGCTGCGGTATTGTTGCTGTGTGAGTCATGTTCGGCAATTGATAAACGGAGCTCTCTCTTCAGTGGTTCGACGAGGGGAGGCAGAGGCCGAATCGACGGCGGCACGGCGGCCGAACAACGAAACCTCGGCTCTACTCGGCACCCGTGCATACACGTATGCATGCATGCATACGTCGTACGTAGACTAGACTTTGTGTACCACACCGTTTCTACAGTACACGAGAGGCCGTCCCCACCTATCTATACAGACCCGCCCAAACAAGACGCCAAACAAACCACCCTCCGTCAACAAAAGGATCAACATGATTGAGAAGCAGGCAAGCAGGGAGAAAATATGTTGTACTGACACAGACAAGCACCGGTTTACTGCTGTAAACATAAAACGGCCCTTACATATAGACTAGCAGTCGGTGCTTTCGTAAAAAGGTACGTAGACTACGTAGACCTTATAAATGTCAACAAAATGCTGAGTCTCGCTTGCTCGCGCGGGGATGGAGCGGGCGTATTGATGCAAACATTAGATGCGTGGGGTGCAGAAGAAAGCAGCGATTGCAGCACCAGCTGGGCACTTACAGGCGGGGACCGACAGGGTCACGGCGGACAGTCGAAATGTTGCAACCACTTAAGTCTACATTCAAGTGATGATTTTGGCCGGTGGGGCTCATATGTGACCTGGCGTTCTCCAGACATATCTTCCCTGTGGCCTTTCTCCGACATCCATGTTATCTATGAAGAAGAAAGACTATGCTGGCCCCGAGGGCCGCTCGCTGCGAGGTACGGACACGCGTGCGGTGACTGCATTCTTAGGAAATTCCTGGTAGTTCTTTTGGAGCCGAACCCTTGGGTAACCCCCTCCAGAACCGAGGTACTGTACGTGGTAAGGCCGATGAGTTGATGAGTACGGAAGTTGGTGAAACTCCTCGATTGATTGTGCTTTACTTTTTCGGGAAAAAAAGGTTATTCTTGACACGGTTCTCGGTTTGAATCGTAGCGTGTGTGAATATATTAATGTGTGCTGTGTCCGAGTGAAAAGTTGAATGTTAGACAGAACCAAGGGAAAGGACGAACCTCCGAACTTCGTTGTCTCAGGTCGTTCCTCTCAGCACAACGATGAGTTTTCAAAGGTAAATCCAACTATTTAATAGGCCGAGTGTTTCTTGTCGCAGGTGAAATCGCAGCTTTTGCACCCGGGGGGGACCCGAAGTTGCCAACGTATGGCCTGAGGGACGCTTCGCCCGGCACCAGTTAGGCGTACAAGAAGGTTGGCCAATGCTCCATGAATCGCTCGGAGAGTTGGTGATCGTGACTGATACGGTAAGAAACCACCGATGACCCTGTTCGTTTTTGTCGTCATTGCTGCTATCGGTGCTTGATGTTTCTCATTCGAACCCTGTTCCGCAACGAAGTAATCGAGGTACCCTACGGGAATAGGAACGGTTGTGCATTCCAGAGTAAGGGGGCACGTTTGTTTCTGTGGCGTTCCCGATTTGCTCTCCAACGTGCGCTCAAGGTATTTGTAGAGTCAATTGATTGCCAATTTGGTTGTGTGCGTGGAACGTTCCACGCCATCGTTGTGCGTCGGGAGAATTGCACGCCACGCCGTTCTCAACGTTGATACTAGAAACCCCCCCGCCGCCGGTGTTGTCCCATGCTCCGTGTCGCTTCGTGTTTCGCGTCCTTCTCAAACAGCGGCCGCTATGCCTTCTGCGCTGCCATAGCGTTCCGGACACCGTGAGCAGTGGTGCCGGTGCCAGCTATGCCCCCCCCCCCCCCCGGTACGCGGGGGGGATTAAGACGA